CTACATAAAGTAAATGAAAAGATTCTGAGAAAGTTTTATGTAAACCGACTTAAAAAAAAATTTAGACTCAAAAGGGAAAGTGAGGTTTTTAGAGTAAACTTGATACAAATCCTTTTATCAAGAGGTGAGTGGTTTTATAATGCAAACTTCAGTATCCAAAATTATCCCACTTTCTAAACTCCTTTGGCTAATCCAAATTCTTCAGGACGCATTTTAAGTCCCACCTCTGCTGTCAGTTCTTTCCATGTCATTCTCTCTCTTTTATCTTTTTTACTTTCATCTTTCATTTTTTCGTTGTTTTGTTCTTTCATTTCCTATGGCAGCCCTTGTCATCCTAATCTTTTCAACCACACTTTCTAGAGTGCTAACTACTGGACAGATTGCACTGTAATTCCAAAATTCAGACTCATCAGCCTGGCATTCCAAAGTAATCAGTTGATCAGTTTTATAATGTATCAATGCTGAGCACCTATTGTGTGCCAAATTCTGCACTAGACAATAAGGATTAAAATGTAAGTAACTTCTGTTTTCTGCCCCTGAGCACCTTACCGTCCAATGTGGTAGATTTGTAAGCTGATGATTGATTGGTTGATTGATGGATTCATTCATTCATTCAGTAGACATTTACTAAATGCCTTCCATATAACAGGCGTTGTTCTTCTAGGAGATACATTTTGAACAAGACAGATAAGACCCCTACCCTTGGGGCTTACATTCTAGTGGGATTAGATGATGGTGAAAGAGATTTAGATGAAGAACAACTATTTATTTACTGAGTTTTTACCAGAAGCTAGGTACTTTGATAACCAGTTGAGGCATTATTTTAACTAATTCTTAGGACAAGCCCATGTTATACTATCTCTATTCAAAGATGAGGCAGTTGAAGAGTAGAGAATTTAAGCAAAATGCCCAAGGTTTCACAAGCTAGCTTGGACTCAACCTAAATCTCTCTAATGGTGTCATTGCATAACAAATCCATTTTTGGCAATACAAGAATGTTTTATATGCTGTCGTCTCTTCTAGGAAAGAACAGAGCTAGGTGGGAGGAAGAGTGTGTGTGGGCAGGTGGGGAGTGGGGACGGTGGAAAGTTTGGAAGTGTGATAGTCTCATCTCCTGCTACATACAGTCCACTTTCTCCGCCTTCAGGAATACAGTTGCTTAACTGCACTCACACTAATGTTCCCATCCCCCCGTGCCTTTTCTTAAGCCTCCCTCTGCTTGGTCTTTCCCTTCACTCTGTATGTCACACCCATAACTGGACTTTGGGTCTTACTCACATCCATCCTCTTCCAGTGTCTTCTGCAAGTCCTCCCTTCCTGCAAGATTAGTCTCTATTTCCCTTCTTCCATTGAACTTTTTTCTTTTAAACATGGTAGTGCTTCTCAGAGGCTGTCTGGCCTTTCAGTTATTTTGCATTCCTCTATTTCCTCCCAAGAGACCTATGATCCCTTGAGTAGAGGCTTCATGTCTTATATGCATCTTATTCCTCACTGCATCAGTGGAGTCCCTCACACACAATGGGCGCTGATACTGTTAAGGGTACTTATTCCAAAGCTGTGACCCACAAGAAAGCTTGATTTCCAGTGGGGATCTTCCAATGCCTGATCTGGTTATCACAGTCACCTAGCTTCTGGTAAATGCTCAGTAAATAAATAGTTGTTCTTCATCTAATCACGACCAGTCTTTTATCATTGTGATAATTAAGTGAGCAATTCTTTTCTGTTAAGAACGCCCCCATAGATGTATCTTTTGAGAACTGCTTTAGAACTTTGTAATTTTTATAAGGTCTAATATTACTCTCTTCGAGGCCTCCTAGGTAAGTCAGAGCTTCCTAAGGAAGCATCAGTTCGATAACAAAATAAATATACTATCTGGATCTAGTCACCTTTAGTTCCAACTTATTCCACCTCCTTTTCAGGCAAGCTTTTCATTTTCTGTAATAATCAGCTGTTTCTCAGAGACTCTTAGATGGGGGAATTTGTGAAATGTTTTGCATTGGGAAGACTCTGGGGCTCCTTTGTGGGGATGTGTTTGGCCAGCACAGCTCTAGTATTAGGGAAATGAGACTGAGAGGGCTCACTTATCCATACATTGGTAAACAGAGAAAGATAGCCTTGTAATAGAGAAAAAATTCTCAGAGGGGAAACAAATAATAAAATCAGGCTGGTTTATGGTTTGTCAGTCCAAAAAGCTTTTAAGCCGTATCTATAAAGGTGAATCCACTTAATGTTTGTTCTGCATTTCAGGCATTATTGTGTGATAAGTGGTGTAAATTTAGCCCCTTTAAGCCTGATCTCCTAGGGGTTGAGTTTTAAGCGTTGGAACTTTATTTGAAGGGATTCTATCTATTGGGCTTTGATTTGGTCTTTCCTTACCAAAGAGAGGTACTAAATAATGGCTTGGCCTCCCTGTTAGGTTTTTTTTCTTTAATTCATTTTATAGGTCTCTCTCTGCCCCTGTTCTCTACCTTCTATTTCTAACTGTTCTGCTTAAAAAGACTAAAGTGGCATGAGAGAAGGGGAAAAAAGGGAAAGAAAAATCAACTGTCACATTGTGAGCATAATTGATTCAATAAATAACGTCTTTCAATTCCCAAGGCAACCCTCAAAGTCTTCACTTATGTCAATTAGTGTTCAGCTCAGTAAGTGGTGACGTTCTTAATTTAGATGAATGGAGAGAGTGCACCAGCGCTCACCTCCTAAGGAAGGAGTGTACTTTTCTGGTTTTAAAGACATCCCATATAGATTTACAGGCCCACTCTGCAAAAAGAAGCTTGAAATGGAAGTAACGTGGCCATTTTTATTCTTTTTGAAAATAGAAGGAGGGCATTTAATTGTTGTCCAGGGGTTTGTTGAAACAAAACATTGAAACAGGGGAATGGAACCTACTAGACTGTGAGCTCTGTGAGGGCAGGGACTTTGTCCTGTTTTTCACCATTTAATCTCCAGTGCACACAGTAGCTGCATAATAAATATTTGTTAACCAGATCTGTTGTTGAATGAATGAGAGCAGAAATGAGCACAGTTCAGGTCTTATGTTAAGAATTAGCTTAAATTTCATTCCACTGGTTGTTTCATCCCCTGCCTCCCTCCTTTTCCCCCTAATTCTTTAAAAGGAGAGTAGCTCTCAGAGGATGATAGTACAGTAGGTACTGTATCTTCAAAAATGACGAAGGAGAGCTGTTTCATCAATTCCCAGGCTGGCAGAGTTGGAAGGGATCTTGGAGGTAGTGTCAAGCTGCCATTTGCAAATTCTAGTGGATGAACTAGTTGTGCTTCAGAACTACGTGAGGTATGTTATAAATCTACAGATTCCAGGCCCCAGCCCTGGAAATTCGGATTGTATCCAGTCTGGGTAGGGCCTGGGAATCTGTATTTGCTTGCTGGGTTCCCCTAGTAATTCTGGTGTGCAGCTGCACTATCTGGTCAGCCTCGTGGTCCCCTGAGCTCTCTGGTCTAAGTTACTCCTTGGTAAAAGTGACTAGCCTAAGGTACCCAGCTGAGTAATTGGCAGGGCTGTGACCAGAACCCAGGTCTCCTGACTCGGATGCAGTGCCCTTCATCCCACAGTTTGCTACTTTGGTTCACCCAACACTCTGTTGTCCTTGGCATTTTGTCAAGATCCTTTAATTAATACTTCTTCCTTCCAGGAGTGTGGCAGTATTTGTGGTGATGGCCAGCCAGAATCTGAAGGCCTTCTGAAACCTCAAGGAAATGATACATTTTGTTCTGTGTACTTTGGTACTAGATATATTGTATTGTCTTCTCTAGAGATGCATCCTCCTCCTGTGGCTCACAACAAACCCCAAGTAGGAAGTCCCTACCTTTCTCATGTAGGCTGAGAATCACCTGGGTGCTTGTTTGAGTTTTAGCACTCTGGGGCCTCCTTGAGTCCTATTAAATCAAAGTCTTCCTGTGAGGGGCCTGGGGAACTGTATTTTAAGTTAGCTTGGATCATTATTCTCTTTAAACTACTTTATAGTCCCTGAGAACAGTGTGTCCCATTGCTCCAGATCCAGTTTTGATTTCCTTAAGACCTTCGTTCATAATTACATGAAAATCCTGTCTTTCCATCTGAAGGTTTATCCTCTGGTCTACAGAACTTGTCCTTGAAGGAGGAAAGAGGGAATATCTGCTTTTGTTGTTCTTCTAGGGTAGAATTTCACTGGGCAAGGTGGGTGGGTAGACAGCTTGATATGTACAGTAGTGGAGGGAGCACTGCGAGGAGATTAAGGGTGACCCTGAAACCAGAATAGAATGCCTGAGTTCTTTCCTGGCTTTATTACTTAAGAGCTGTGTAACTTTGGGCAAATTACTTAACCCTCTTTGAGTTTCTGTTTCCTCATCAGTGAAATGGGGCTAAGAATAGTACTTGTTCAGGGGTTTTGTGTGTATTAAACAAGGTGTCCTAGGCCGGCTCTCGGGACACAGACTCAGAGATGGAGATTTTTGTGCAAAGGGTTATTGGAGAGGGCTCTCAGTTGTTGGCTGAGGGTGGCTGTGTGCCAGCAGTAGCCTGCAGTGCTGGCAGATAGGGAAGGAGTGCCCGCGTCCTGGAGGGGATCCCCACGGTGCACCCGGCACACACCACCCAAGATAATGCACATAAGAACCTGAGCAGTAAGTGTAGCACATTTGTAAGTGTTCAATAAATATTAACTATTACCATTATCATTCCAGCTCTGGCAATGCCACTTAGCAGCTGGGCCACTTTCAGGAAGTTACCCAACTTCTCTTGGACTGTTTTCTTATGTTTAAAATGGAGACCCTAAACTCCGCTCTGTCTACTTCCCTGAGTAGTTTTGAGTGCATGTGGACATAATGTATGTGAAATTGCTGAGTAAAGTATTATAAAAATGTAAGGTATAACTATGAGCCTACTCTTCTGAAACAAATATATGGCGATCACTTGGATTTCTTGAAGGGAAAGGCTTGTGATATATGTAAAACTGCTTGTCCGTAAAATATGGCATTTTGATTTTTCTTTCTTCTCTCTATAGGGAATTAGAATAATGGAAATGCTGCTAAAGGAACAGTGTGGTGCCCCCTTAGCCGAATAAAGAATCATCAGTGAGTACCAAAAGCAAAATCAGAATTATTTACTCAAGCCATGTTTTCATGCTTATAAGCCTGGCATTATGCATCAGCCTCCCTGGGCTATTCATGCTGTACATTTCTCAGTTATATGCACGGGATGCTGTTTCACAGGTGTTTTGTTATCTCTTCAGTACCTTTATTTACTTGGTTCTTTGATGTTCAGAGCAGTTTTGTACTACTTGCTGGGTTACAACTGCATTCAAATTGTTTAAACTGCTCAGCACAATCCCACATGATTGCAGCCCTCAAGGTGGCATAGATTTGTAGAGACTGCAGTTCAGGATTAACTGAAGCTTATTTTTATTGTTCAGTGAAAACAATGAAAGGAGGAGTTTAAAGCTGTATTTGGAGCAGGAAGGAATACAAGAAAGGGGCATGTTGATTGGCCAGTGAAAATAAATATATTTTATCAGTCATATATCCTCCCAACAATTGGGAGTGGCTGCCTGAAATGCTACTGAGAAGGATTCTGAGGTCTTGAGAATAATTCTCAGGCTCTGATTAAGAGTGCTTTGATTGATTAGCCATGTCTGCCATGGGCACAGGATGGAAGGAAGATGGCACTTGTGCTGGAGCACATGCCACCTCTAGGTTAGGGCAAATGATGTAGGGTTAATAGCAGGGGGATTTCAGAACTACTTAACTTTTTCTTATCCTTAAGTTTTGATTGTCTACATCAGGGAGAGTGTTCTTCATAGTAGAAAGGTAAAGTTATATAAGACAGAATAAAGCCTAAAATAAATGAGTATAGTGGATTTGCATCTTAGAAAATTTATAAGACTTAGTTTTTTAACATCTGAGAGAACATAAAACCCTTGAGTAAAGCAAACCGTGTTGTGGGTAATTCAGAGTTACCTCAAATTTCCTTATGTTGGCTTAAAACTATAGTACACATGGTTTTATATAAGCAACTTGGTACTCTACTTGTGATATATAATAAACTTTGAGAACAATTAACCAAAGAAGAAGCAAAAGAAACATTTGTGTACAAGTACCTCAGCATTCAAAGCATGCTGGCCAGACCTACGAATGAAAATTGGAGAATTATGAAGTGTTTCTGCTTGTTTGCAGATTTGGCTCCATTTTGATTAATATTAAGCCTTCTATACTTAACACATACTAATAGATTTATTTATTACTGGAAAGAGTAAACACAATAATTTCATTTTGCACAGGCACAGCACATGGCAGGTGCTCAAAAAATGCTGGGATGGAGTCTAAATATGGTGTGCTCCTACATCCACTCTGTTTTCTGAAAAGTTGTAGAGAAGAGCTTGGCCACATCTCCCTGTTTTCCCAGGCTGGTGTTTCTTTGAGGCTCACTAAGCACCTCTAGTGCTCGTGCACTTGGGCACAGATCCCATCTGACCCTGGAGGGTGGGGTCTAAAGTCAGCTCCACATTAAATAAGAAAATGAGGGGACTCCACTTACATGGAAAAAGTATATGTTGGTTCCCAAACTGTAAATTAGTGATTTTGAAACTTTAGTGAGCATCAGAAGCATCTGGAGGATTTGTTAAACATGGATTGGTGGGTCCCACTCGCAGAGTTTCTGATTCAGTAGGTCCCGGTAGAGCCTGAGAATTTGTGTTTCTCACAAGTTCCCAGGTGGTGCTGCTGCTGCTGGTCCAGGGACCACACTTGGAGAACGATTGCTTTAAATGAGTTCTCGTCACTGAAATGAGACATTAAATGCAAGGGCACTGAGAAAGCTCGTAGATGGGGTTTTGAAACTGTTGTCATGTATTCCGTCAATTTTAGATTAATCAGAGGAATGATTTGCGTGGCTTTCCCGATTTTAGCATCCCAGCCTCTTGTTTGCCTTTTTTTTTGCTGCTTGACTATTGACAGGCTCCAGCCTGGAGCGAAGACAACTGAAAAGAAAGGAGATGAAACTCACATCAACTTGTGTTTTTGATTTAAAGTGTTGCTAGTGAAAATGAGGAAATTAAACAATCATTACCAATTGTCTTAAATTACCCAAGTTCTTGTTTTTTTTTTTTTTTTGTGAGGAGGACCAGCCCTGAGCTAACATCCAATGCCAATCCTCCTCTTTTTTTGCTGAGGAAGACTGGCCCTGGGCT